AGAATATGGATCTGTGAGACAGTTGAGTAACTTCCAGGTGTCGCCAAATAGACCCAAGCCACACAACCTCCTCTTCACCATGGTGACCTGGAAAGAGGACAGACAGCACAGACAAAACTCATGACAACCATTCACACAGCTAGGAGAAGCAAACACACTCACAAATAGTGTGTTCCACCAATTAGCTCTAGTTCTTGAACCAGTTGCGTTCAATATTCTTGGAACCTGCGTTTCAACCAGTGTTGAGCAGGCCCATTGTAAACAAGGATGAAGTGAGTTTTGCCTCCCTGCCCTGATTGGTGTCAGGTAGGGGTGACTATTTTTTAATATATTTAACTTATTACCTGAACTGAACCACACTAAACTAATTATTTTAACAGATTTTTTAAATTATTATTATTTTAAATGAACTGTACTATATTCTAAATGATTGTAAAGGCATTTTCAGTTTTCAACTTGTATGTATAATTTTTTTTTTTTTTTTGCCCTTTAGAGTTGCACAATACGCAGCAACCTGTAGAATATGATACACCCTCTATGGTTCCCAAGGAAAACCTGCTAGTATTTGGTTCCAGTTGGGAATCAATTTTTCAGGTTCTGAACAAATGTATTTTTTGGCCAAAATCCAAATTGGTGCTTGAACCAGAACGGAGCCGGTTTTCTTTTGGTGGAAGAGGTCTATGGTGAAAAAGGCCTAACAGTGAGAACCAAACATCACAGGCCCTGGGCAGGAATTCAGAGGTTGTGATTTAAAATAATTCAATGTAATTATATATAATTTTACTTGGGTGTGACAAGGTATTTGGAAAAATATAACTTCTTTGTAACATGACTCCTCAGCATGATTACACCAAATGGTGCACAATGAGCCACAAGTCTCTATATATAGGAAGCTGACTGTTGGTTAGTAAAACAGAATTCAGCAGATCAGTTGACTTCTTACTGCCAAAGCTTCACTGTCAGTAGACTCACAAATTATATTGTTTCCTTGCTGTGGACCATACAGTTGTCTATTTTAGATGTTAACTGATTATATTCTGGGTAAAGTGTAAATGGGAGCACTCTGTATGCACATTTAAAATATTATTTTATCACCCAAGGCTTCAACCTACATTCAATGATGGAATGGGGTATTGGGTTGATCAATGCAGGGTACACATAAATCCCTAAAGATCTCAATGCTGGAATAAAAATGGTAATGTCCTCTACCTGTGGTACTTCAGAGGGTCAGATAGAGAGTACAATACTCCCATAGTGGGCATTGATATCACTACAGATGCAGAAAGTGAAGCCGACAGGTTTAGGGATGGCTGGGAGAGACTGGCCTGGCCTCTTATTTTCTGATTTTCAATAAAGTGAAAAAGACACATTTGCATGTGTAGTGTATTTGCTTCAGACTACACAATAGAAACTTCACTGAGTATTTCCATATGTTTTCATGCTCACATGCCCATTGTAGGCACTTTCAGCAGTGGACAGGGGTCAGCAAGGGCACCCTGACTGGTCTGCAGCCCTAGTTGCACCATATGCAACAAACTGGAATGCACTGTGTATTCTACGTATGGGGCTGCATAACATTATGACCACCAGGGTTCCCAGGTGGTCATAATGTTATGGCTGATCAGTGGATGATGTATAACACACTAACACAGCTCAGGAGGTCTCTCAAGTTGATTAAGAGTAAGAGTACAGTAACACAGGTGAACACACACCTTTGGAGATATACAAGGTAACTTAATTGATTAATTGCGATTAAGAAAACTCCTGAGCAAAGAAAAGGCATTAGTGAAAACAAGTGCTGCAATACTATTCAAATACCAAAGTGTATCTGTCTCTCCCTGTCTCTGCCTGTGCTTCATCCATTATTCAGCAGGATAACAGAAATACCCTTAAAAGAGTCCAGAGGATAGTACAGGAACACTATGGATTGTTCTGGTTTTTAGAGCGACTAACCCATTCTGGCTTATCATCTCACATTGCCTTTGGTTCATTGGTTAGTTTGCTGTGCATGTATACATCCACCTTCCACCATCAACCTTGTTTTCAGTCATTCAAGGTAAGGGCCCTGAGCACAGAAGTTAAATGGGGCAAGACCTTGACCCAAAAGGGCTGATACATGGACATGGATATAGATGGATGCATCACTGGACTGTGTTGTATAGTTCAAAACACACTTTTCCATCATAAAGCCACAGACTGAATAAATGTCTCTTTCAAATAGTAAAGATATCTAATGCTTTAAATTTGTATAGGTTTCTCTTTTTCTGTTTTACATATAAAAATAGGTTTCATGCAGCCATTAATGCCTGTGCAAACAGCTCCACTGGTAGTTTTCCTATATGCCAGCCTGTCTTTCAGAGTGAGAGATACAGATACAGTGGGATACACAAACACTCCTGTGCTGTCAGCACATTTATACAGACACTAATGAGCACAGCACAATGTGTGTCTTTATTTAGTCTAATGGCAGCTGTGAAAATTAAACAACTTGGTGAGAGTTTCTGGCCACGTGGCGAATGTAAGTCCAATATTAACTCTTTTTCAAGCTCTGTTTTGGTTTCCCCCAACACCTAGGGTTTCTGGTGCTGGACAGGTAGCGTCCTAGTTTGCTTTGGGGTTTTTTTCTGCAGCTGTGTGCTGCGTCTGGAGACAATACTGATAAGATTGATGAAAAATTGCGTGAGACGACGCTAAAACGTTGGGATATAATTATTTTAGTTAATCACTATGAGCAACACCTTTATTCAGTAATTTGATCCATTGTTAATGTAAAAACTTAAGATTAGTGAAGCTTTAAAGGGGACCTATTATGTTTTTTCAAAGTTTTTACCATTTTTTCCTACTGTATGTGACAAGCTAGCATAGGCTTTCTTTATTTGGTCATCTGCTCCAGGCACAGCACACCCATGAAGTACAGGGATGCGTCCATCCACCTGCTCAGTCTGTCTAACATTTGACCACTCTGCTCAGGACTAGTTTACTTTCAAGAGTGCTTTTTTGGTTGTTAGGTAACATATTTTCAGTTATTTTGCTCTGTTGTCGTCCTTTGCTTAAACTCTCTGTGATTGAGAGGATTCTGGAGACATGACTGTCAGTCAGTATATAACTGAACGAGAGCAAAGTTGTGTGAGTTTGGTGCTTTGGAGGCGTTCTTAATCAGAGACAGAATGGTGTTTGGGATCAATTCTGATTTCATGAGAGAGACGTTGGTGAGAGAAGTGGACTGTGGCTGTGGTGCAGAGGCAGAGCGGGTCATCCCCTAATCAGAAAGTTGTTGGGTCAATCCCCGGCTCCTCCTGTCACACGTCGAAGTATCCTTGAGGAAGACACTGAAACCCAAATTGCTTCCGATGCTGAGCATTGGTGTGTGAATGTGTATGAATGCGTTAGTTTCTGTTCGATGGGCTTTGCCATCGCTGTGTGAATGTGTGTAAAAGTGCTTTGAGTGGTTGGAAGACTAGACATCTCCTCGGAATTGACTAAGGCACTACTGAAACAGATGTGTGATGTGCACACAAGAGCAAATATGTGGATTTAATAAAAGAAAAGCACAAAGCACAAACGAAAGATAAACACAAGCCACAGGAACGACAAAAGAAAAGTTTAAATGCTAAAGGTGTGGAAATGAACACGCACCACAGAGCTGTCCAGCATTTGGCAAACAATGCAAAAACGGAAATATGATTCTTCTGCAGTCATCATAAAGGATTCAAGTGATGAGGAAAAGGTCTTTGTTGGTGTAGTTCATTCACATAAAAAAAAAAAAAAAAAAAAAAAAAAAAAATAAAAAAGGAAAAAAAAGGAAAAAAACTTTAAATTTGAAAGTGGCGCACAGGCTTAAATCTGTAATGAATACATCTGTTTAAGGCACTTTAAAGCCATTAAAATGTAGTCACGCATAATGTCATCCCCGCCAATCGTGAAATAAGATATGCCTAAACTGTAATGATACATGTTTCCCTACAAATTCCAAACTTCAGATGTTTCACACTGGACCTTTAAGAATTCTACAAATTTGAGTAATCTGAACACAAAAACATACTTTTGACAATGATTGCAACTTTATAACTATATAAATACATATGATTGGCTCTTGTAGTTATGAGCATTGTAAAGAATAGTCTGTATGTGGAGCATTTTAATTATTTCAGTTTATTTTAATTATTTCTGTGTATAACATTACAGCGTTAAAACAATTCAATTCAATTCAATTCAATTTTATTTGTATAGCGCCAATTCATAACAGAAGTTATCTCAGGACACTTTTCAAATGGAGCAAGTCTAGACCGAACTCCTTATAACATTATTTACAGAGACCCAACAGTACCACCATGAGCAAGCACTTGGCGACAGTGGCAAACAACACCATGAAAACCTGGTGAATCGTATTGGCAGTGCCGTGGATGTATAAGTTGGCAATATTCTGTCCTGAAGGTAACTTATGGCTGCAGTGGAATGCGTGTGTACGAGCACATAAAGTATCTTTCCGCAGGCAAACTCCCTTTGCTTCAGTAACTGACTTGTGTCTGCAGCCACTCTCCTTTCTCTCTGTCTCTCCCTCTCTCTCTCTCTCAAGTGCTGACACAGTCTGGGACTGATTTTTGAAGGAGTCAGCAAATACAGCCTGCAGAAATACCAGCTTCCTCCAACACACACACAGACACAAATTAAGAGACGTGGAACAGAAAGGCACATGTGGGCTCATGCATGGACACGTTCTCAAATCCATTCACACAAATGAACTAATTATCTGCCACAGACTTGTGCACACACACTTACATAAGGGACTCTGCTGAAATGACAGGGGTGGTGAAGGAGGCTGAAGCTTATGTTTGACTTTGTAAAAAAGCACAGCCCTCCCAAGCATCATTAATGTTTTGAACCCCTCTCTTGATTTATACAGAAACACAACATAGCGAAATGAGTGTTTAATACCCCAATTTAAATGAATGCAATTCAGTAACATCATCAGGGAAAAGAACCGTCATGACATCATCACGTTTTTTTTAAACACCTTTTTTAATTGGGATTTTTGCAGGGATATACACACTTTACATAAACACGATAAAATACTTTTATAATGTGCCATAAAGGATCAAATACATGTATTTTCCTACAGAAGTGGACACTGGGCACTGACCCCGCTGGAACCGGAGCAGTAACATACATACCAGTAGGAAAACAAGCAAAATTAAAAACAACAGAAACGAATACTATTGAGGATGTTCATGACATCATCTTTCAGCATTTCAACATTTTCTCAGATTGGACAAAGTTCCTTCAGTGCCACAGAGGACTTTACAACCTTTTTCTTTATTTTTACTTACAGGTTTAAGAGTCCAGTAAATGAAAGTGGATGAGTAAAATCAGTGGTGTACGTCTTTAAGGGAAACACTGGGGTCAGATGTATGTAGTGGAGAGGGTTAGAGGCCAGAGAATAAAAGCAAAATAATCTGCCAGTGCCTGTGTTTACAGCGAGGGAGGGAGGAAAGTGATGGAGAGAGAGGAGGAGGGGAATCTTATGAAATGCTACAGTATGCTGTGTTATCTGAACATGAAGGGGGGGGCAAACACATCCCACTGGAGAGACGGGGAAAAGAGGCCAAACAGAAACAAAGTGAGACAGAGAGCGAAACAGTGAAAGATTTAAAGAGAGAGAGAGAGCTGAATGGCAGTTACTGTAGACAGAGCAACACATCCTGCTACACTCCAGCCTGTACAAAGACAGAAGGAGCTTTATACCAAAAGAAAATACATTCACCATGAATGTGACATGCTCACAGACCAAAGCAAAACTCAATATTTACTTAGGGAAAAAGCTGACATTGAAATAGAAGCAGCAAAATATGTCAGAGAATGTAAGACCCTGAGGGAAAAACAGCAGAGCAACACATGTAACTGAGCTCATTCATTGATCTTTTAGATTTTTATTTGATATGGTCTACACTGTTTCTACCAAGTTCTGTCTCATGTCATGATGCTTGCAGTCTTTTAGTTATTTTTTTTATTGATTTGTCAAAATAACCTTTCTTTGTTGAGTGTGTATTATTGTATATTGTATCATGTAGTTGCATAGAGTAGTATACTGGGTATTGTGTAGTGTATATTGTGCTAAATGGTAAAAACTATTTCCTGTATTTCTTATATTCTGAAATATTATTCATACATTGGAAACAGCTTTAGTTACTGGAAAATAAACACAATTAACACAGTTCATATGATAAGCTCATAAAATAAAAAGCACTTTTGTTATATATTAAACTACCCACCAACAGTAAAATGCTGCTTACGCATGAATGCATCACTAATAATAATCCAATAAAAAACAATTATACAATAATATGAAACTGTATTTTTCCTTTTGTTTCTTAAAGTACAGTTTATATATTTTTTCTCAAATAACAATTTCAGTGCGAGTAATTAGTGTATACTCACCTCAGGAATTGCTGTGTTTTTGTTACCTTATAATGAGCCTTAGCTGAAGACACTGCGGGTCACCTTCCATGGAGTCAGCCATGTTTCTACAGTAGCCCAGAACGGACAAGCCAAACACTGGCTGTAGGGACATTCGTGTTTTTTGCACGTTTTGCGGCCACCGTAGTTTCTCCTTCTCACTTGGAAGGAGAAGGTGAAGCGACTAGAGTTGTGATCTGCAATTACACCGCTAGATGCCACAGATACACACTGGACCTTTGAAGCAGCTACAAGGAGCTTTTGTTTTATGTTGATTCTGGCGTCCTCTGTGGATAAAAGTAGCAGTAGTAGTGTTTCCACCACCCTGATTCAACTGATTTCAATGAGAATCTGGTTGAATCCAACCCGGTGGGAGGCATTAAGAATTATATAGAAATATCTGATCTTCCCACTGATATTTGCTGATGTAGGTCATATAGAGGGATCAGTATTAAATTGATTAGATTGTTGTACATTTAAGTAAACGATTGAAATATTTCTTTCACCACTATTCTTTATATTAAGGCTGGAATCATACAGCAACCCTGTTTCACACTGACATTTTAGGGATGTTATTTGTTTTCTTATTACCAAGGGTTAATTATTTCATAATTTTTTAAAAAACTAACAGGCCAGGAGTAAGTCATTTTGAAATCAAATGTTTTAGTGGACGAATTCTTATGATCATGCCAATAACGCAAATTTAAATTTCTGTGTGGACAGATCAGTAGTCCGACAGATCCAGTGGAGGAGGAGAGTGGAGAGAAGGTGAGACATGACATGAATCTCTGTACAGCCACAATAGCAGACTAGAGATGTGTAGGGGAGAGGGGTGGGGCTGCTCTCTGCTACGCAAAGGGAAACCACTGCAATCCCCCCCTCTCATTCTTGTACACCGACACACGGCAAAAATGCCACCCCAATCCACCCCTCCAACAGCTACTCACCATACTGTACTTAAGAGCTATTTAACACAGAAACTACCCCTCTGACATTTTCTATCAGCAGACTGTTTTCACTGCACACACAGAGCTAAAACCAGCTTTCTGTCTGTGTATGGTTTTATTGGAGTGGTGGTGACAGCTGGGGGAAGGGAGGCAGATGAGACACAGAAGACTCACGATGACTCACGAGGAAAAAGAGTAAAAACAGAAACAATAGCTGCCAGCTCTTTTTATATTTGACATCCTACTCACAGATCTGGGAAGTCTAATAGCTCACAGTAACAATCTTGTGAACGTGTCCCTGTTTCTCCAGATATTAATGGTGCACCTGCAGTCTTTTAATTAAGGCTCTGCACTGTCTCTGCATCCTCAAAGGCACCAAATGACCTCTACTGTCATGTCTGGGGCTGTGCCATGTAAATATTTGTCAGGGATGAGGAACAGAAGAAACACTGGCACCTGGTGGCAGAAAAAAGTTTGGTTCAAGTAGGAAGAAGACTGCAGCCTCCCTGGTTTGCACACACAAGTTGTGAACCACAGGATATTTATTAGGTAAATAAGTAAATGTTTAAACTTACTGAGGTCAAGCATTGTTTTGTAAGTCAACCGTTTTGTCTATCAAGATAAAAATATCATATTAGGAAAAAAACTTCTCAAGCATCACAGATGGTCTCTCTCTCAAGGTTTTTAGAATTAAGGAATTTGTATGAATAAAGGGAATGTGTGTGGATGCATTTTCTGACACAATCTATCAATTAGTAAACAAGAATAATTCCTATGAGTTTTTAAAAAGATTTAAAAGACCAGTGTATCAGATTCAGTGGCATCTAGGGGCGAAGTTTCAGATTGCAGCCACTTATATACAACTCAGCCTTCCCAGCATGTAGGAGAAACTACAGTGGCAGGTCTCTCTACAGCCAGTGTTTGGTTTGTCCGTTCTTGGCCACTGTAGAAACATACTCTGTGGAAGAGGAGATAAAAACTGCAAAAATCAAAGACCAAAAGCAAAAACATGTTAGCCCGTCTCTCAATACTTTCAGGCTTTACCCAGTCTGTGTCTCAGCCCCAAGCCTATTAGTTCCTACTGAAGACGTCCATTATTTAGCAGCTAAACAGCAGCTAAAAACAACTGCATCCTGTATCATTCCAGTACTTTATTACGGTATTAATTGAAAACTATATTAAAAATATATTTTAAAAAATCAAATACACAGTCAAATATTCACTGTACGCAGTTTCTATTAAATTATTATTGTTTTAAAGTTACATTCACTGTAAAAAGTGGTCATGTTGACTGGGTCAAAGAGTCAGGCGACATCTCCAGTGGACAAATACAATATACTGTAACATGAAGGTGGTGCAACCCTTAAAGCGGATACTGTTAAAGGGCTACTGGTAGTTTCTGACTGAGAACTTGATGCTGTGGTTATGGAGGTGGTCGATGAGACTGGTTTTATGGAAGGCGGCTCCTGGAGTGTACACCCCTCCCCTGTGAATAAGCCAGACAGAGAGAAAAAAGGTGGGATAATGTTTTAAGAAAGGAGGAAGGCAGATATAGATTAGACAGAAGAACTTTTGAGAAATTTTCCCATTTATGACAGAGAGGGACAAAGTAAAGGAAGCACATGCAAAAGACAAAACAGACTAAACTGACCTCCTGGGGAGAGAGTGCAGTTCATTCAGCAAGGTTATGGCTGCTTGCACCATAGCAGAAACTGTAGCTACATAACCAGGCTCTGTAAACAACAACAAAAACATGAAGATTCACAAATATTCCAGAATATTATTTACAGCACAAAATACACTGAAAGTCTAAAGTACCGCTTAGAGTATGCGAGTGCTTAAAGGATATGTGTGAAAAGACCAAAACAAACAATGAACTGATCCCACTGTGTGTATCCAAAGAATACGTCTTCCTCCTCTGTGCCATAGAGCTCCATTGTTGCCCAAAAACGCATCAGTGTATCCCACTGTTGCCTTCAGTACCATCAACACAGTTTATTTTCAGTCAGTCCCACATACCCCGTCCTGCTGCTGTAACTACTCCACAGGCAACGAAATGTAGATTAAGTCCCCTAAAAACTGCAGTGCCAAGCTGTTTCAGAAAATTACTGAGCCCTTTTTCATACAGATTACACTTTTTTCACAGCAGCCACTTTGATGTGAAATAGTAGGGTAAACACATGTGTTGCATATGATACTAATTAAGGTTATGTTCCCTTCATGTCAAACAGAGTCAGGGTGCTGCTACTTTGCATGTTTGCTCACGGCTACACTGAATGGAACAGAGCTTTAATTAGTATAATTGGTAACACCTGTGTTTAACCTACTGTTTCCTGTCAAAATGGCTGCTGTGAAAAAGGTCTACAATGCCAGCCTTACTAGTGTTATAGACATTATTTACTATAATTAAACTTGCAGTGAGTGATTCAGAGATCTTGGAGCCAAACTTCTCACTAGATGTAACACGAGCAGCAGTCAAACATTAGTTTCCATCACTATTTTTACGAAGCTAAAGGTGAACATATAACAACATTAACGATGGCTCTGTTGTATTAAAGTGACTAATGAACTATGGCAGTATGGCAGTGATTCAGCAAGCTCAAAACCAGGACCCTGAAACTGAAACAACTCATTCATTTGATCATTTACAACTGTTCTTTTCCTTCTGTGACATGGCAAAAATGTCTTCAGTGAAAACACACATACACAGACAGCTTCACCTGTATATTTAAGAGAACCAAAAGCCTATAACTTTACTATAAATCAGTGGACAGCAGTTGTGGCAGTTTTACCTGCTCCTATGACCTGAGTGCAGATCTTTGCGTTGGGTTGGCCCTGTGTGGGATCTGTACCCTCTGAGTAGCCCTCCCCGAAAAATGTCAGGCTAAAACAGGTATCTTCTATCTGAGAGAGGATGGGAATGAGTGGAAAAATCAATGGAAATCAAGATTTCGCAGCAGAACAAACTGTACAAGAAAACTAAACTCCAAGAAATAAAATAAAATAATACTTTATAAAATACTGTACTGTACTAAATACTGTATGTATGCGGTTGTGGACCAGAGCTGTGATGGTTGTTATAAGCGCTAACAAAGAGAGCAAAGTATAAGACCATGATGTGTAATATCTGCTATAACCATGGTACAAAACAGCGTATAGGTAGTAAGTAAGTAGGAAACAGAAATCTGTTATGCTTTGGTTGTATTAATACATGAATCAAATTATATTGCAGTTTTTGCATCATAAATAAAATTTTTGCCAAAAAACTATTAAAAACATGATGATGTGATTTTTTTGGGAGTCTGTACCAAACAATCTTACATCTGGAGAACAGGATTTGTAGGCCAGAAATGCAGAACTGCAGGACATCATTATAATGCTGTTTGTCACACATTTTACCGTTATCAAAGAAACTTAACATATTGTGATTTTGATAATATTGTGATTAATTGTGCAGTCCTAATGAAAGCCCCTGAAAAATCCAATCTTCTTGTCTATAGCATTAAATATTCATGACAAAATAATCAAGTTTTAAAAAGTCCATCCTTGTTTTCTACCGTGTTATTTATTAGGAGTTTCACACTCAAAATCTCAGACAGTCTAATCCACTGTCATCATCTTTTGATTCAAATGTTGCTAAATCCTGATTTACCCCATCCCCTTCAAACCAGTCAGATGAGCAGAAACAAAAATCTCTCGACAGAAATAATCAAAACTCGTACTTTGGCAGATTATTTTGTGTTCATGTAGGACGCCATCGCACACAGTAAGGAGACGATTAAAAAAATAGGTTTTCATACCTTTAACACAAACTAAATCGTCCAGACCAATGACTGTATTTTCTTTCACTTGGCTTTAAAGCTCCTAATTGCAGCCGATGTATGACTCCTCTAGGAAGCTTTCAAGTCTTCCCAGGACACAAAAATGATAATAAATATATTAAACTCATACACTATTTGTGTTACCTGCTTCATGGTTGGACCAGACTTGGTGAACAAACCAAAGGAGAAGAATGATGGAAACTTTGCGAAAGAAAAAAATATCAATCCATTACACATACATGTAATTGTCACAAAATTGTGCTTAACTGTAAGGAACTGTGATTACATAACATTAATTATACTGACTCTGTTTAATCCTTAGCTTTTTCCTGCATTGCTGATAAATGAAGCATTATAACTATATAATCCATGTAGATTGGAAATGTTTTTCTACTCGCAAGCATCAAGTAGTATCAGAGTTGTTGCCACTTTCTGCAACTGCATTTAACAAGAGTAGCTTTGGGTAAGCCTTTCAGCTAAATACCCACACCTAACTGTGACATTCACCTACATTTAAATACATGGAATAACCATTTTGAGTCGTAACGCTTTCAAGGGACTCAGACTATCTGCCTTGGACAGCATATACCAAGGTAGGCGTTACAGTGAGAGGCTGGTTGATGAACAGTGTAGCTACCATAGTGAGGAGCTTCCTGCCCAGGCTGAATTTGACCATGAACCAGAAGAGCAGGCCACCGCATAGGAGCTTAACTACTGAGAAGAGGCCACCGACCCCGACGTAGGCACTGTACTGGACCTGTGGGTGGAGGGGAGACAGGGCAGGAAAGGCAGAATGTAAATGATAAAAAAGGAAATTAAAGGTGACACAGAGGGGGAAAAGATAAGGGGATGCAGATAACAGGTGAAGGTGAGAGGAAAATGAGAGATGAAGGAAAAAGTGGTAAAGTTGAGAGAGAAGGGGGAGGGATATGGAGGAAGGAATAAGAGATGAAAGTGAAGTGATAAACGGACAGGGAAGAGGGAAGCAGAAGTGAAGGAAAGGAGAATGGGTGAGGAGGATGTAGATGGAGAGGTAGAGGATAGAAGAGAGGTACGAGGGTGAGAGGAAAGGCAGAATCAGGTTGAGGGAGGAAGAAGGAGGGTAAAAAACAGGGGCAGGAGGGAGGGAGTGTGAGATGAGATGTCAAAGGGAGTAATGAGCAGCACGGAAGAAAGTGATGAATCCTTATAGATGACTCATCATATTTCCACTTTACTGGTAGATGGCGGCTTAAACAACATAATGAGATAGTTTCATTAAGGCCTGTGTCTCTGGCTGTGATCAAAACAGTGACAGCTGCTGAAACAGCTGACCTAGTTATAGGTACAGCAGGGAAAAAAGGTTCTGCTTTTCACAGCCAGGATGCAGAGGTGCAGCCAAAATAAGGTGGAGTATGTGTCCTTAATACTAAATATGAAACCCCTTTGTGTCATTTATTGCAGCGCTGCTGCACTGTGTTCCTGAGGGACTGAGGGAGAGTACTGAGTTAATAATCTCTCTGGTCCTGAGGCACGCTCAGGCAGAGCAAAACGTTTCGATGCATTCCCAATTATTTACTGCCTCAAACACGGTATGGGATATTATTGACTGCATGGAAATTTACATTTATTTATTTGGCAGACATGTTTGTCCAAACAAGTGCCTTCTCTCCTTATTTGGGCCTTTTTGCAAGGTACACTTGCTACACCAACATCACAGGCAACACATTACTGATACTGTGGCGTTTACTAGTATCAAATGTATAACTCACTTGAATTTGTTCATCATTTGGCCCACAGGACAGATGCCATTTTGAAAAAATTTTAGAGAATTTGCTTTATACAGTGTAGCTTTTGCTGAACAGCGGCTACTGTGGCCAGAACTGGTAATTACCACCATCACAAAGTCATCAAACGGCCTTGGTTACACAGCAATATCCAACCAAAGTTCGCTAACATTAGCCAACCATAAGCTACTGGTCAAGAGTTAGTAAGTGTGTAAGTGAGTGTTGAATTGAGAAGGGGTGCAATTTTCTTGAGAATGAATTATTTCAGACAAGTGTTATTTCTAGGGATGCATGATAATTATCAAGGCAATTAATTAATCAGGCGGATAACGGGAAATTTTTATCATTATGTATTTCTCCGATAATAATAATAATATAAATTATCGATAAATTATCGGCCCATAATAGTCACAATTTATTTTGATTTTTTATGCAAAGAGTGATCAGCTGTTATATAAATGGTATCAGCCATGAGAAACAGGTAATAATCGGTGATTGAATCGGCTGAAAAAATCCACATCATGCATCACAAGTTATTTCTTGTGATGCTAATCTTTAAGCAGACTACCTGACACAGTATTGACCTTTCAAAGGACAAGTGTTGGGGCAAGATGTTTTGATGCCTCACTTCACCATGGCAAAAATCATGTGGCCACCACAAACAAGGCATTCATTCATGGTCTCATCAATCTGCGTCAATATTTAAAAACAGAGCTGTGGACTCCAATTAAAAGTGATCCCTTTATATAATACATGCTTTATTGAACAAAGCAAGGAGACTGAACATTTAGTTCATTTATTTCAACACGGGTCACCTCTTCAAAACGGAATAAATAACTTCCAACTTCACAAAAACAAATACTTGCAGACTTTTCAATACGATGGATGATGTATAATGTTATTTACAAATCAACCTAACTTCAAACTTGCTCCTCTCTCTCCAAGCCTCCCCTGTCCCTTCCTCCCCGGAGTCACAGTCCTGGTTGGACCCGCTCACTGGGAGGCTGCTGAGCCTGGCTCCGTTGCTCACTAGCAGTCCAAAGCTCCCTTGATAGCCTCCCCAGTACTTCAAGCTCACCGTCCGGGTACAGTCACATAATAGGACTGCTAACTTGCTAAATAGCAAGAGGTAGTACAGCCCCATAGACTGGTTAGCACATACAGCAGTGCTGTGATACAAGAGGAAAGGTCCATAATGCAGCAATCCCCTGATACTTTTGTCCTGGTGATGCAGCTCCCGTTTTATGCTGTTATTGTTTTTGTGCGACAATCCGAATAGTGAAAAGTGCATCAGCTTACACTCTTCTTGTCAACTAACAGTTTACTCAACTATTAGAGTTTTTCCAGGGTGTCTCCATGAGGCCTAACAAACATGTTAACTACATTACCTTCCTCACATTACATTTGCAAAGCTGACTAATAGTTTGATTCATATTTTGGAACCTGCATTATTTACATCCATATTCGCTAGCTGGCAGTCTCCTTCTTCCTCACTTCAGCTGAGTCATTACCACCAACTGTCAATCAGTGACATTAGCATGAAATCCTTGGCAGGAATGTGCATCATGTTGCTTGTTTGCTCCTGCATTTGCATATACACCTTGTGCAAATTCTCAACAAAAAAAAAAAAGTGCAACAAATCACAAAATCACTGCTCCACAGCAGTACTAGTGGTCAAAAACAACATTTTAGATGAGAGAGTTTTTGACCACTACTGGTGCTTTGGAGCAAATTTTTTTGTTATCTTTTGCTTTACTAGAATGATGAACGTAGATGACATGATACACATTCCTGTCTACTACACAGAGAGGTAATGTGTAATATGTGTAGTGTATGCAAGCTATTTGACATCCCACTGTTTCAAGCTGTTCCACTGCAGTAAAGTGCAAGGCGAGTTTTATGAAAAATACATTCAGCACATTTGTTAGCCCCTAAGTAAGAGTGTAACACTGTTTAAAAGAAACCTGTACAAGGAAGCTTTAATTACTACCAGTGCAATAAATAATGGGAGACACTGTGTGGGTTCTTGTGTTGATATAATCTTACCGGTGACTGCTGTTCCTCCTCATGAAGGAAACGCTGGGTTCTCTTGACTACTGAGGGGTCAGAACCCATAAATGGGATGGCATACTGCCCGATCTCCTTGCTGAAAAACATAAAGCCCCTGGACACACATACAGAAACATACACACCAAATTACAAAAACAGAAAGCAAAGCGATCTACATTCACCAAATCTATCTCTGCTTGCAGCATCAGCACAGTAGTATTCAAGCTCATTTCATCCATTGATAGTCTTCTAAATCTGTCTCTCCATCCCTGCCAGGCTCCACGTTGCACTAAAATCTCATTACACTGAATGTAAGTCAGGCTACCAGACAGTAAAATAGTCTGCAAATCGCAAAACTTGGATGTCAAGTGTACTGTATTTTTATATAGTACCTTACAGTTGACCTGTAGAGTATGTTTCACGGCCTTGAGATTAAACATAACTAGTCAAAATGAAAGCTTTCTTTCCAGAACATCAACAAAAAAAAAACACAAAAATTGCACCACATGTTCCTTAAATATATTTATTAATGATTCAATTTGCTTAAATTGGAAAATTAACGTATTTTTATTAAATGAATACTCCATCTTTCACTTTGGAATCAAACCATTAAGAAATGTAGTGTTAATAAGATACATCAGTTTCAGTGGGAAAAACCTCTCTGCTGTGCGCTGAAGAAACACACCTTATCCCTTTCTTGACTAATCGCTGCCAAGCCCCACATTCCAATAAAAATGTTATTACTCAAAGTAAAGTGTTTAAGCCAGACAGTAATTGCTTGGTTATAGCCTTACCGCTTTTTGACTTTGGCTCCCACCACAGGCAGCGGCTTGTGGCCAAACTTCTTCCTCAGCTGGCGGAGGGATCCGCTGTCTGCGAAACCGTACACAGCAGACTGCCAAGTGGCATCGTGGCCAGACATTCCCTGCAAGGGTAGAGATAACTTTAACTTCTGTCACGGTGCAGAAAACTAATTCTATCCCAAAGTCCTCTCAATAAACACCAGAGGTTTAATGTGAATAACTAGCTTCTTTTTTTTTTTTTTGTTTTTTTTTTTTTTTTTTTTTTTATTTTTTTAATTTTTTAAAAATATAAAAAATAGAAATTTAAAAAAAAAAAAAAAAAAATTATTTTTTTTTTTTTTTTTTTTTTTTTTTTTTTTTTTATTTTTTTTTATTTTTTTTTTTAAAAAAATAAAAATATTTTTAAAAAATATTAATATTTTTTTTTTATTTTTATTTTGTTTGGGTTTTTCTTCCCTTAAATTAATTTTTTTTTTTTTTTTTTTTTTTTTTTTTTTTTTTTTTTTTATTTTTTTTTTTTTTTTTTTTTGGGTTTTTTTTTTTTTTTTTTTTTTTTTTTTTTTTTTTTTTTTTTTTTTTTTTTTAATAAAAAAAATTTTTTTTTTTTTTTTTTTTTTTTTTTTTTTTTTTTTTTTATAAAAAAAAAAATAATAATAAAATTATTAAAAAAAAAATAATTGATTAAAAAAAAAAAATTAAAAAAAAACCCCCCCTTAATAAGGATTCTTTTTTTAAAAAGGACAAAGTGTATCAGGCTACATTTCCCATCATGCAGTGCAGAAGCTGTAGTTGTTACCTCAGACCCACTGCTGATTTTCAGGAAGCTCTCCACAGCTGTCAGTGTTCCTGAAATCAAACCAAAGCACGCAGCTGAAGACCGAGTTCCAGTTCAAATTCAACAAATGCAGGAGTTCAACTAAAGTTGGCACTTTTAGCTTTTGTATAACTGGAAGCAAAACCGTTGTTGGTGATTCAACGGTTCTGTGTTTCCTACCTTTGAACTGCCTCTGTGTATAGAGAATACCCAGATCTGCCGGTATGGAGTCAAAACCACAGCTGCCAATCACATACACTCCTCTGTCCAAGGCCTTAGTGTGGTACTCTAGCTGCATACGCTCTAGGAACTGTAGACAATGAATATCCACACATACACATATAGACAAACATGCATTTTATTCTCTAGTCAGTTTACTTTTAATAACCAAGCTATAAACAAATACACAGATATAATCACAGTAAATCAAGATCTAAACAACAGAGAAATGGATACTTATTTTCCTACCTGAGGCTCGCCACAGATGTCAATGTAGTGAGCTCCATTTGCAATGCAAGCTTTGACCACCGGCTCGCCATAAAATCTGTACTGAAAGGACAAAGACAGCATACAGAGAATTATTCAACACAACATAAGATTACAGTGTCGGGGGTTTGAATCCAATCTGACAGATGTGTGTCAGATGACATCTCATGGTTTCCTTTGTTCACTCCCTCACAAAGTCCAGATAGCACACTTACAGGTCCCACACAGTTGAGAATCACCAGGCCTTGTTGGCACATGATGGCCAGCGATTCCTCGATAGACACATCGGCAACAATGATTTCAATGTCCGTCCTCAGCTCTGGCATAGCTGACGAGAGAGGAAAAGAGATCATCTTTCACTCATTGTACAGTGGATAACTCTTACACATAGCCTTTATATGGTTGGTGCTTTTTACCATAAACTGCAAAACCCTCAAATAAAATGTATGTGAGAGAAATAGAAATATGAACAAAATCTGAGCCAACTTTATTGAAGGGTTACTTTATGAACAATGTTATAAATGACCAGATATTAATAACATATTTTTTTAATACCATCGTATCAGCTTTGTGTCAGTGCTGCGGTATTAAGCTGGGAGGGTGATACTGTGTCCTCAAATACTGTGCCCCATTATAGCTACAGCATAAATAAGAAATGTCCCTTTATCATTGTAAAATAACTTGCTGGTCAATCAGACTGTGGTCCAGCTGTGAAGCTAACTAGCTATTTCGGAGCACAACAAGACCTTGTATTTAGGGGTCAAGTTCAACATTGTTCACTTCTAGCTACATAACCACCAACAGACCACAACAACAACAACTCAGGCTGCTGCCTCTGTCAGTCAAGTGAGTAAAGTATCCTGCGGCAGTGACATTTGATCGTTAAGAGCCTGACAGCGAACACTCCTGTCTCAGTTAGCCACAGTACACCCTGTCAAGCACATACACAGCCTCCCCGCGGCTTGTTTCAACACTTCTTCCAGACGCTGTCTGCTTCTCCCGGCCACGGCCCATTTCAGAGAGCCACCGCCGGGACTCTCTGCGGCACATCGTGCGACCTCCTCCACAACGAACTGTCCCGTGAACCCTGTGGCACCGAAAATGATAATATGGTACGGTCTGCTTGAGGTTACAGACGCCATGTTTGCGTTTTAGTACAAGGTCCCGCTGGGTAACGTTAGGCCCGGTTCTGTCCGCTGATTGGCTGGGCAACGGCCACACTCTGCCCATACCGCTGACGGTAACTTGTTCCGGACATAATAAATGGACACCTATGGTATGGTGGCCGAAGTGCATTTGTAATCCACGCTAATTAATCCGCCAGCAGCAACAACGCTTTTCTGTTACAAAGTCGTCTCTCATTAATGTTTAAGTAATATTACAGATGACAGGTTTTTTTATTCGACTGGTATGTTATTACACGTTTTTGAGTGACTGTAGTTTAAATATTTAGACTGAAATTAAAAAGTATATTGACTAAGATGCACAGCTGGGTCAGAAGTTGCTACATTTTCCACATGATACTTTTAGGAGCTCTCTGTCTCATACAGTGTTCACCATGCACTATGACTGCAGCAGTGTGAGCATGAACCTCACTCGATAAAATGATTCTGCGGTGTGCATTGACATCTGGTGGTGAAGTTTAAGTATTACTTGGAGAATTCGAGGCCAGTGTGTTACAGTAAAACACATTTCATTTAAAGATGAGAAACCAAGCAACAGTTCAAATTAGGATAAGCTTTGAAAAAGAAAACACAAGTGATCATTCATCAATATATTTTGTATTCCCTTGTGGACACAACTGAACATAAATATTGAAACATAAAAGTGGATCGCATAATGCAATATCCACTGTGACAATACAGAAGTATCCATTTAAATACAATGCAGTGTTAACAGGGGTATTTTCTGTTGTGTTACTGCCAGACAGGAAACACAACCGACCATAAAGCTCTGCTTTTTGACAAAATGATACAAAGACAGCATCACCCAGGTACACTGGATATTAAACTCCCAGCGCAGTTTAAAGAAGGGTGTGCATATCACCAGATTTCAACAACTGCAGCCACTGTACATCAGTCCTGAAACACACATTTTAAAGGTACCATCCACATTCTGATAGGAAAGTTTATATTACAGAAATAATTACCAAAGTAATCACTGAGATTGCAGACAGACTGACATACGCTGTATTTTTCTCATATGCTGTATTTTTCTCAAAATCAAGGGTGCAGAAATTCTTGAAACCTGTCTTATAATGCGCATGCCAACTTAGCATTAGCATTTCTGACATTAGGATACAACAAACATACATCTGTGATTTCTCTGCCACTGAAACCTAAGGGCGGGTTACATCTTAAGTATCAGGCCCTTCAGCAGCAAAAGTAACAGAGGTAACCAAATCAGCAAAGATTATCAGAACTGATACATTTCTGCAAGTTTAGAAGTTTTTACATCTGTATTTTTTAGCAAAATGTGTCATTCTTGCTTAAAAAATGAACATTAGTTGCTGATTAATTTAAAGCTGATCAACTGTTTTATTAGTCGACTAATTGTTTTAGCTGGAAGCAGAGGTGGCAAAGGTACATACATTCTTTACTCAGAAGTACAGTTACTTGTGTAAAAAGACTGGTAAAAGTAGAAGTAATGACTCAACTTCTTTACTCAAGTAAAAGTGAAAAAGTACAGGCTCTAAAAATGTACTCAAAGTATAAAAGTACTCTCTTAGTTCCTCTGAAGGACATTTTCGGCTGTAGCTGCACAAAGCTAACTGAAACTTTAAACAGGGTTGAGTCTCCATTCTTGTCTGTTTCAACTTCAATCAAATCAAATCAAATCTATTTATAAAGAAAAATTCAAAACAACGCTTGTGACCAAAGTGTTGTTCAAACCAGAGCAGGTAGAGGAGACCATAATTAAGAGAAAGACAGTTAAAACTAAATACTAATAATAAATAAAGAAAATCCATTCACACAGCACGTATGTACAGTCATCAGCATCTGATGGACAACCATGGAGACACGGCGGGACAAAATTATTCCTCAGCCTTTTCGTAATTGCATGCTCTGGCTTCCAAATGAAGAATGGGTGAAGCTGAAAATATTTCTGTAATTGAGTCTATGAGCTCAGGCTGAGGTGGATAGCGCCACAGGGAAATCATGTTCATTGGGTGACATACTGGACGTGACCCTGGCCACAGACCCAATGTCTCGAGCTCAGTCTTCATCCATATCTTCGGCTGATGGGATCAGTTCCACTGTGCAACATCCGGATTGTAGCCTGGGACTGGGGCTGCTGGCTGCCTGACAGGAGGCACTTGACATGGTGGAGCTGTAAAACACAAACACATAAAACACTACAGTATATTCAGAGTACAAGGAAATGAAAGGGAGCTCTATATCAATGACATGGTTAAACCAGTGTCACACAAATTCTTACCTTCATCATGGACAGCGTCTCTCTGTGCTTCCACAGGGGCAATATTCTGTGAGGATGATGAATCTAGGATGGTGAGATAGAAACAGGAAAGTGTTGGCAACATGTGTGTATCATTTCTCAGAGCATTTAAGAAAATAAAACATTTACCTTTAGGAAGAGATGGAGCTCCTGTTATCACAGACTCCAAAGGACTGCGGGAGACTGGCTTCTGTGTGCTTTGAAAAAAAGTTGTAACAAAAGTGGAGATAAACTTGAACAGACCAGATGTCATCATTACATTTCTTACATCCTTACATCCAGGATGAAGTGAGAAGTAAGCAAATATAACAACCTTTCATGAAAGCAGCAGTCACAGTGGGGTCATCCGGCTCTGCAGGTCTAGAAACAGTGGCTGGTAGCTTCGTCCTGTGTGCTGTAAAAACAATCTGTGTCATTTTCCTCACACATTTAAGTTTCTTATGCTTCGCAATCTGTCTTTACCTGTTGTCTTTGCAGCTAACTGGTAGTACAGACTAAACATTTTCATTAAATTTCTTTTCAGCTCTCACTAGAGGTGCGCTCTTCCTGAAATCCCCAACCATCTCCACTGTCTTTTGAGCGTGGAGCTCCAAGTTGTTCTGTCCGCAGCCGGTCACCAGATGGTCAAGCTCCCACCTGTAGGCGGCCTCATCCCCACCACAGATGAGCCCAATGAGGGTGGTGTCGTCCGCAATCTTCAGGCAATTGACGGATTGACGACTGGAGTCGGCAGCTGTTGGTGTACTGGCAGAGGAGCGAAGGGGAAAGGACGCAGCCTCGAGGGAAAGCGCTAATGACTAATGAAGGGGAACTTTTTTCTGAATCCAGTTTAAAATGTCTCATCCCATCTCTCCAGGTCAAAAACGAACACATCGTCCGGAATTTGAAAAGCTTGCATATGAGCGGGCTGGTGCGTGGTCACGCGCGTCTGCGTGAGTGCTGCCCTTGCCCGTTTCCGTAGTGTAGTGGTCATCACGTTCGCCTAACACGCGAAAGGTCCCCGGTTCGAAACCGGGCGGAAACAGCCACCTTTATTGGCGTTTACACTGAATCAAAAGCCAACCTAGGTAAACCGGGCAAAAAGAAACTGTACGAAAGCTAAAAAAACAGAAAAAAGTAACACTAAAAAAACTTGACAGTTGAGACTACAGGCAGGGACTGGCTGCTTCTCCCCTACAGTGAGGCATTTAGTCACTCTTCCTACCTCTAACTTCACTTTGACTTGGAGCACATTGCCTGTTTCTGCTTCGAAGATGTTCTGTCTTTTTCCTTCTGCTCACCTGCTGAAGGCTTCTTTGTTGTTGCTGCTGTTGCTTTCACTCTGGTAAAAGCAGGGCTGGAACAAGCTAGAGTCAACCTTTCTCAACAAATGGCTAGGTTGACCATCGAGGACTGTTTCTAATATAATAGTCATTCATGGTTCCTGTGCGTACAGCATTTACTGTCACTCAAATCCATGAAACGGGAACTTTTGCTTAATCCAGTTTAAAATGTCTCATCCCATCTCTCCAGGTCAAAAACAAACCCGTTGTCCAGAATTTGGAAAGCTTGCGTTTGAGCAGGCTGGTGAGTCGGCGCAGGGTCTGCGTGAGGGCTGCTCTTGCCCGTTTCTGTAGTGTAGTGGTTACACTTTTCTTTACACACGAAAGGTTCCCGGTTCGAAACCGGGCGGAAACAGTCTTCTGCTCTTTAATCTGATTATTGGAATCAAACTCTACTCAGTATCAAAATCAAACTATACTCCGTCAAGTAAGCAGACGGACGCCAAAAGGGGCAAAGTCAAGGTAACCATACCCTCGGCATGACGCAAGCACACGCTTGCTGCACCTGTGCTACTTTACTTTTTTTCCGCTAAAAGATCGGCAGGCGGTAGAGAAGTAGTGTCTCCCCGTCAGGGAATTGAAGCCCGGTCTTCAGCGTGACAGGCGGAGATACTGTCCACTATACTAACGAGGACTGGCGCGTTGCCAGGTTTGGCGTGTCGACGCACTGGTGGCGCTGTTCCCGGCGTTTGCAGGGAAGAGGCATACAGGGAGGCATTGAAGCTGAAGCACGGTGACACGTTTTTGCTGATTTTCAGCTGGCATTCTCAGCTCTCACTAGAGGTGCGCTCTTCCTGAAATCCCCAACCATCTCCACTGTCTTTTGAGCGTGGAGCTCCAAGTTGTTCTGTCCGCAGCCGGTCACCAGATGGTCAAGCTCCCACCTGTAGGCGGCCTCATCCCCACCACAGATGAGCCCAATGAGGGTGGTGTCGTCCGCAATCTTCAGGCAATTGACGGATTGACGACTGGAGTCGGCAGCTGTTGGTGTACTGGCAGAGGAGCGGAGGGGAAAGGACGCAGCCTCGAGGGAAAGCGCTAATGACGGATGGAGTCTAGGAGGATGGTGTAAGAACTGTCGCTTTGTCTTTCAAATCCACAGCAGAACTCATTCAGGTCGTTTGCCTGGCGCAAGTCGTTAGCGGGTTGGGGGTTTTAGGTTTGCACTTGGTGATCCGTCTGAGACCTCTCCACACATGTTCTCCTCTCTGGTCGGGCATTTCACAAGCCGTCTGTGTTTGGGGACTTCATGGATTGGGTTACCTTTGTCAAAGTCGCAGAGGACGACGACTGCCGAGTCCGGGTTTCTCCGCTCCGTAGACAATATCTTCTAGACAAGCTTGCGCTGTGCATCCTGCACGTTGGGCTGCGGTGGAACGTATGCACAGACCAGAACAAAGGACGCAAACTCACGGGGGAAGTAGAGAGCTTCGATCCAGCCACTTCAGCAACCAGTGATGGGTTGCTGCTATGCATGGGTAGAAAGTCTTAACAAAAAACACACCCTTACCCTGCAAAATTAACAGGTTTTCTGGCGTTAGAAAGGTTTTCAGTTCAGTGTACAGTTGATTTTAACTGCGCACGTGCACACGCACGGGCCAGAGCTGCCAGTGGTTCCCGTAGTTTAGTGGTGATCACGTTCGCCCAACACAACATTTACTGTCACTCAAATCCATGAAAGGGGAACTTTTTTCTGAATCCAGTTTAAAATGTCTCATCCCATCTCTCCAGGTCAAAAACGAACACATCGTCCGGAATTTGAAAAGCTTGCATATGAGCGGGCTGGTGCGTGGTCACGCGCGTCTGCGTGAGTGCTGCCCTTGCCCGTTTCCGTAGTGTAGTGGTCATCACGTTCGCCTAACACGCGAAAGGTCCCCGGTTCGAAACCGGGCGGAAACAGCCACCTTTATTGGCGTTTACACTGAATCAAAAAGCCAACTTCTAGGTAAACCGGGCAAAAATGAAACTGTACGAAATGCTAGAAAACAACAGGAGAAAAAGTAGAGCCCTGTGCGCACTATAAAATTAAGCTTGACAGTTGAGACTACAGGCAGGGACTGGCTGCTTCTCCCCTACAGTGAGGGATTTAGTCACTCTTCCTACCTCTAACTTCACTTTGACTTGGAGCACATTGCCTGTTTCTGCTTCGAAGATGTTCTGTCTTTTTTCCTTCTGCTCACCTGCTGAAGGCTTCTTTGTTGTTGCTGCTGTTGCTTTCACTCTGGTAAAAGCAGGGCTGGAACCAAGCTAGAGTCAACCTTTCTCAACAAATGGCTAGGTTGACCATCGAGGACTGTTTCTAATATAATAGTCATTCATGGTTCCTGTGCGTACAGCATTTACTGTCACTCAAATCCATGAAACGGGAACTTTTTGCTTAATCCAGTTTAAAATGTCTCATCCCATCTCTCCAGGTCAAAAACAAACCCGTTGTCCAGAATTTGGAAAGCTTGCGTTTGAGCAGGCTGGTGAGTCGGCGCAGGCGTCTGCGTGAGGGCTGCTCTTGCCCGTTTCTGTAGTGTAGTGGTTATCACGTTCGCTTCACACGCGAAAGGTCCCCGGTTCGAAACCGGGCGGAAACAGTCTTCTCTGCTCTTTAATCTGATTATTGGAATCAAACTCTACTCAGTATCAAAATCAAACTATACTCCGTCAAGTAAGCAGACGGACGCAAAAAGGGGCAAAGTCAAGGTAACCATACCCTCGGCATGACGCAAGCACACGCTTGCTGCACCTGTGCTACTTTACTTTTTTTCCGCTAAAAGATCGGCAGGCGGTAGAGAAGTAGTGTCTCCCCGTCAGGGAATTGAAGCCCGGTCTTCAGCGTGACAGGCGGAGATACTGTCCACTATACTAACGAGGACTGGCGCGTTGCCAGGTTTGGCGTGTCGACGCACTGGTGGCGCTGTTCCCGGCGTTTGCAGGGAAGAGGCATACAGGGAGGCATTGAAGCTGAAGCACGGTGACACGTTTTTGCTGATTTTCCGCTGGCGTTCTCAGCTCTCACTAGAGGTGCGCTCTTCCTGAAATCCCCAACCATCTCCACTGTCTTTTGAGCGTGGAGCTCCAAGTTGTTCTGTCCGCAGCCGGTCACCAGATGGTCAAGCTCCCACCTGTAGGCGGCCTCATCCCCACCACAGATGAGCCCAATGAGGGTGGTGTCGTCCGCAATCTTCAGGCAATTGACGGATTGACGACTGGAGTCGGCAGCTGTTGGTGTACTGGCAGAGGAGCGGAGGGGAAAGGACGCAGCCTCGAGGGAAAGCGCTAATGACGGATGGAGTCTAGGAGGATGGTGTAAGAACTGTCGCTTTGTCTTTCAAATCCACAGCAGAACTCATTCAGGTCGTTTGCCTGGCGCAAGTCGTTAGCGGGTTGGGGGGTTTTAGGTTTGCACTTGGTGATCCGTCTGAGACCTCTCCACACATGTTCTCCTCTCTGGTCGGGCATTTCACAAGCCGTCTGTGTTTGGGGACTTCATGGATTGGGTTACCTTTGTCAAAGTCGCAGAGGACGACGACTGCCGAGTCCGGGTTTCTCCGCTCCGTAGACAATATCTTCTAGACAAGCTTGCGCTGTGCATCCTGCACGTTGGGCTGCGGTGGAACGTATGCACAGACCAGAACAAAGGACGCAAACTCACGGGGGAAGTAGAGAGCTTCGATCCAGCCACTTCAGCAACCAGTGATGGGTTGCTGCTATGCATGGGTAGAAAGTCTTAACAAAAAACACACCCTTACCCTGCAAAATTAACAGGTTTTCTGGCGTTAGAAAGGTTTTCAGTTCAGTGTACAGTTGATTTTAACTGCGCACGTGCACACGCACGGGCCAGAGCTGCCAGTGGTTCCCGTAGTTTAGTGGTGATCACGTTCGCCCAACACAACATTTACTGTCACTCAAATCCATGAAAGGGGAACTTTTTTCTGAATCCAGTTTAAAATGTCTCATCCCATCTCTCCAGGTCAAAAACGAACACATCGTCCGGAATTTGAAAAGCTTGCATATGAGCGGGCTGGTGCGTGGTCACGCGCGTCTGCGTGAGTGCTGCCCTTGCCCGTTTCCGTAGTGTAGTGGTCATCACGTTCGCCTAACACGCGAAAGGTCCCCGGTTCGAAACCGGGCGGAAACAGCCACCTTTATTGGCGTTTACACTGAATCAAAAAGCCAACTTCTAGGTAAACCGGGCAAAAATGAAACTGTACGAAATGCTAGAAAACAACAGGAGAAAAAGTAGAGCCCTGTGCGCACTATAAAATTAAGCTTGACAGTTGAGACTACAGGCAGGGACTGGCTGCTTCTCCCCTACAGTGAGGGATTTAGTCACTCTTCCTACCTCTAACTTCACTTTGACTTGGAGCACATTGCCTGTTTCTGCTTCGAAGATGTTCTGTCTTTTTTCCTTCTGCTCACCTGCTGAAGGCTTCTTTGTTGTTGCTGC